CAGGCTTGTCCAGAAGCCTCTTCTCCACAGTGTGCAGGTGACCAGACTCCTTGGAAGGGGCCGGGAGAAGAGGACAGGGCTGGAGATCGCTAAGCAGAGCCTGGGGAGGGGTGGCCGGGTGGGCCAGGGCCAGCTTTCCTCCCCAGCCTCCTTCCCCCACTCCTGGGGAGGCCCTCGGTCAGTGGACAGTTGAGGCCTGGCACGCTTTCTTGGCCTTCAGAGCAGATTCCCCCAGGAGTGGTAGAACAGAGGCAGAGCCGAGAGCATTCCTGTGCTTCCTGCCGTGGTCTCGTCCTGCCCCAGGCAGGCAGGAGGGTCTCAGGAGTGGGTCCACCCGTCATGGTGGGCAGAGGTGATGGGTGGGTGCCCAGCCCCTCTCGGCTCTGCCTGGGGTGTGGCCTAGAGGCAGGTGGCAGTGTCTTCATGGCTGTGGCCTTTGTGGCCAGCACTCGCTCAGGCTCTGATGGGCACGCACGAAAGCCGTCTAGCCAGATGGCGGGACGTGGAGGTTTGGGATAGTGCCCCCCCCCCCCGGGCCCCTGGTGCCTTCCTGCTGCCACTTTCCCAGGGGATGGAGTTTTAAAGTCAGCATTACGGGGAGAAGGGCCGCAGGAGACTCACCCCGAAAGGCCCTTCCTTGCACCTGGGTAGATTGGTGCAACCCTGAGCAGCCGTCCAGGGGCCCAAGGTGGAGGACCTGTGACGGGGTCTTTCACAAAAAAGCAGAAACTCTGGCAGAGCGGGCCGCTGGCGGCAGGCAGTCCCGCTTGAGAATTTGCCACCAAGTCAACCCAGAGCCATCTGATGAGTGATACTAGCTGAGGCTTTGGTTTCCCCACAGGGCTGTCCCCCCAGAGTAGTGGGGAGAACACCCTTCTTTCCTTTCTGTTTTGCCACGGGGATCTAATCAGGGGCCGGCTGACGCGGGCTCCTGAGCCAGAGCTGGCCCCGCCTGTCTGGGTAAAGGAGTCTGACGGGAGCACAGCCGTCGCTCATCCACCGCCGGTCACCGCTTCTGCACCTCAGCAGCAGAGCCAGACCGTTGAGGAGGTGGCTATGGCACCCACACAGCTAAAGACACCACCTGCCCCTTTACAGAAGGGGCCTCGTGGCCCCTGGTGCAGCCTGCTCTGATGTGGGCAGCCACTTTTATTAGATTATTCCTATTCTTCTTATCCACGGTGCCATGACCGTCCTTTATGCTGGAAATATTGCCTCGTGCTTCTGCGTTTTAAAAAGTGTAGGATTTTCATGCACTTGAAATCTGTCCGTCTTTTCTGGTAGCAGCCTTAGGGGTCAGACTTAGGGGTCACCCAGAGGTTATAGACCCACTTGCTCTCGGTCCTGTCAGGCCAGCACCTCTGAGGATGAGGAGGGTCAGGGACTCTGGCAGTGACCACCGCCAGCCTCGTCAGGCAGAGCACCTGCTGTGGCCACCGTCCCTTGCTTTTCCCTGAGTCACACAAGAGACACTGAGGATGACAAAGACTGACCTCACAGCACCGTCTCTGGCTAGTTGTAGGGCGGTGGAGAAAGTGGGCCCTGGGTCCAGACCCCAGTCCCCTTTGCCTGCAGTGACGAGTGGCGGCTCTGTTCCCTACGGATTAAAGGGGATGGGGACTTTGTTACGGGGTCCCAGGTGTGAGAGGTCCCAGGTGTGGTGCAGGCCCGGCCCCCAGCTCTGGAGAAAGGAGCAGGGTCACCTTCTTCTGCAGGGACAGGCTCCTGGAGAGCAGGGGAGCAGACGCCCATTGCCAGTTGGGTGACAGAGGAAAACCAGCTCCCCAAAGCGGGAGACCTAGCTGCTGGGGCAGGGCGAGGAGCACCTGCTGTGGGCACAGGGGATGCCGTGCACTGGGCGGGGGGATGTGGAAATCCAGCACTTGCCTCTCTGAAGGCAGCAAAGGTGAAATAGGAGGCGCTTCTGGGAAGAGGTGGCGTTGGAACAAGCGCAGGAAGGAAGGTGGAGTCGACCGGGAGGGGATCTGTGGGAACGGCCTGGCCCCAGCCGGGGAAGAGGCCGGAGGTGCCGTAGCTGGCACAGGGCAGGTGCCAGAAGCATTTGTTGGGTAAATAAATTGCTTGGATCTCAGGGTCAAGCCCGGGGCCATGCTCAGCTCCGACGGCGAGGCCTGAAGGGTCTCAGCCCTCTCTGAGGTCTGTGTTCTTATCACTAAGCGTCCCCGGTCCCCCAGATCCAAAGGCCCGGGCTTCGTCCAGGCCCCGGAGCGCACGAAGCAAGAAGTTGGCAGAGTGAAGGGACCCAGGGACCCACAGGTCTGGGTGCCAGGAGCCTGCGTCTGAGCTTTGATGACATGGGTGAAGAGGGATCCGGTTGGGACCAGGACAGAGGGTGGCAGGGCCTGAGATGGGCAGAATGGAAGCTGGTGCCATGGAGCACGGTCAGCGAGGGAGGGTCGAGGAGGCGAGGTCAGAGGGGACAGGGGACTCGGGATCTGGTGGAGGGCAGACCAGGGCAGGGCTTAGAGGGAGAGGATCACCCAGGGAGGAGGAGGCGGTGACAGGACCGAGTGAGGGGCTCTCCACCTGCTGAAAACCCAAGGCCGCGGTGGACAGACGTGGGATTGATGCCAGGGACAGGGAGCACCTCCTGCCCCCGACACGCTGCAGAAGGAGATTTCAGTGTAAGTTCCTCGGGGACTCGGAGCCCCGGTCTGCAGTCTCACCTGGCCCCACGGCCACCTGCTGACATTTCTGTTCTAGAACTTTCTCCTGGTCTGCAGCCAGGGGAGGAACAAGCTGAGGTTTCAGAAAGAAAAGGTCTCTACCCAGAGAGGTTGGGGTGGGGTCTGAACGTCTGAGCCCCCGAGCCACCCCCAGCGGTGACGGGTGACGGTGGGGTCTCAGAGCAGAGCTCCTGCTGAGCCTCCAGACGGTTGCCCACCCCCCCAAAGGAGGCTTCCAGGCAGCAGCACGGATCTCGTCCCAGGGGAGGGGAAAGCGGCTTTGCCTGCAGGAGAGGCTGCCCCTCGGGGCCTGTGATCTGAGAAGGGCCCGGGCCCTTGTGAGGCTGCCCTGGTGCCTCCAGCTCTGCCCAGGGCTATTTTTAGAAACCTGGGGCTGTGGAAAGTTTCCACTGAGGATCGCTCCTGGCTTCCTAGGTTGAGAAAACAGGAAGGCCCTCAGGATCCGGGCTTTGAAAAGCTCCGCGTGAAGCTGCCCGACCCACCCCACCCCACTCCACCCCACCCCTCTCGGGGCACCTCAGCTTATCTGGCCCTGGCGGTGCCACACGGGGAAGGGGGGGGTCTTCATCCAGTCTCCAGCTCGGCCCCTGGGATCCGCTGGTGGCCGGAGCACCGTTCGTTCAGTTGGTGCCGAGTGGCGCTGGGGAGCTGAACGGGCTCATCCCAAGGTCCTGTGTGTGCAGCCGCTTCCCTGGGAAGCATTTGTCCCTCTAGCGGTCCCGTCCCCCTCCGTGAGCGCACAGCTGTCCCCTTCTCTCTCACACACTCCCTCTGCACACCAGCACCTGCTCCCAGGGCACGCGGGCGTTTCTCTACTTGGGCCATCTCACCCAGGACCCTCCACAGCCCTGGAGTGCCGACAGTCACACTTGCAGATGGAGAAACGGAGGCACAGAACCGTCCTGTCACACAGGCAGGTTCAGAGCCAGGACGTGGCCAGCGCGGGACTCCGACCCCACCCTCCGACACCAGGACCTTTGCCCTGCACAATGGTCCCGGGCTCCACAGTGCCCAGATCCCGCGGGGATGTTCCTGGCCAGTGACGCGCCTCAGGCCCCGCAGGCTTAGTGTCCTCCTGCCGCCCCACAAGGAGCGCAGGCCTAGGATGGGGACATGAGGCCCCGGGAGGTGAAGCCACACCTCCAGCTAGGGGAGCACGGGGAGGAGCCTGGCCTCAGCTCTTTAAAGCTGTGGGTGCTCCCCGCCCCTGTCCCCGACCATCCCGGCAGAGCACCAGGACCCTGGAGCCGGGGGAGCCTGGCTGCACCAGGGAGGGGCTCTGGGCACAGGCACCCCCCCACACACCAGCCTCCTATCTCCAGAGCCTCAGGCAAAGGCCCAGATGAGGGCCTGGGGGCCATGGGAGAAGTCAGGGTCAGAGCTGGGGCAGGGGAGGGTGGCCTGCCTTTGATAGGAACCCAGAAGGGTCCCACTGCCCCCCACTTCCACCCCAGTCAACACACCAGCCTCGGGGTGCACGTTTGCCGACCTCGGCAGTGAGCCGGCACGAGGGTGGCCATTTCCAGGGGTGCCAAAGGGAGTCTGTTGGCAAGATCCGTCATCCGGGGATCTCATGCTGCCCGTGACCTCTGAAGACCCTCCTGGAGGAGCAGAGAGCTGGCTGGGGCTGGCCTCGTGCCCCTGGTGCCCTTTCAGAGCTCCATGCATCCTGAAGGGGGTGAAGGTGACCAAGCCCCCAGGGTCCCTCTGAGGATACTTTCAAGTTCTAAGGCTCACGACCGGCGGGGAAGATCCTGCTTGTGCAGAAATAGAGATTTCACGTCCATCGACGGCTGCTTACTTGCTGTCCTTTAGGGGATCCTAGGTTTTTGTGGGACACCATCATGTCATAGGTGTTTCTGTAGGCAGTCGGCGAAGGAGTTCGGGAGCCGACGGCACAAAACGTTCTGATCCAGGAAAGCAAAACATGACATAGGAAGGCATTTCTCATGCTGAAAAAAATGGTCAAGTGTATCATCACGAGGAGCAAAAACAATGTGGTTCTGGTCAGCAGACACTTGATATCCAGATGGGTCACTGTGAAGGTCTTTAAAAAATAGCCCGATGGAGGGGCTGGGGTTGTGGCTCAGCGGTAGAGCGCTCGCCTAGCACGCGTGAGGCCCTGGGCTCGATCCTCAGCACCACATAAAAATAAGTAAAATAAAGGCCTCGTGTCCAACTGCAACTAAAACGTCAAATCAATGTTTAAAAAGCTGGCCTGAGGGCCGTTCTGGAAAACTGACCTACGTTTTCAGCGCTGCTCATTGGTCTCTCTCTTCTTTCCTTTTCTAGTCAATGAAATCATCAGGAAGGAGTTTTCTGGACCTCCCTCCAGAAACCAGACGTAGAAGCAGCCATCATCGCAAGACGTTCATGCCTCGGACCCCCACTTGGAGCCCTCGCCGCCCTCGCTTCTGTCCCTTGCTGTTCATCTCCTGGCCAGAGGCCCCACGGGAGCCACGCTCGGGCCAGCTGCTGGCACAGGAGCTTGCTCCTCTCTCTGGAAACGCCAGAGCACCTCTTCCTTTTGAATTTCGAGTCCCAAAGACCCTCCCGGTTGACCTTCACAGTGACCCATCTGGGTATCAAGTGCCTGCTGACCAGGACCACATTGGGAATGTGGCGGGAAGCTGGAACTGGCCCGAGACCGGCGTGGCTGGAGTTGGAGGGGAAGGGCCCCTGCGTTCACTTTTCCAGGTTCTGGGAACAGCTCCTGGCTCTTTTGAGGGAGACGGGGCCTCAGAGCCACCAAGGGGATGTGGCCGCCGAGTCCAGCTGACGGACCCCCCACCCTCGAGGCTGAGGCCGAGACTGGACCGTTGTCCATGGTGCTCTCCTCACCGTGGGCCACAGCGGGAGCTTTATTTTGGAATTTTCTCCTTCCAAAGCAAACTGCCTTGCCCAGACTAGATCCCCAGTCACGACGGCTCGGTGTTGGCGTGTACACGTTTGTTGTTATTATTCTATGCTTCAGAGAGCTGGCCAAGGAGGCTGGGGGCTGAGCCTTCTCGGCCAGTAGCTCTCTCCCCCTGCTGCCCACAGCCAGCGCTGATGCCGAGTGTCCCGGAGGGGGCGCTGCCCGGCCTGCTGCCACTGTCCACTGTGCTCCTCGAGAGTCCTCCCCGTGTTCCTCCCGGCCAGCACTCTCATGGAGTATCTAGGAGAGCCTCAGGCCTGCGTATTGAATGTCAGGGACGAGGTGGAAGGGCCACAGCAGCAAGAAGAAAAAAAAAGTGCAAGATTTTCGTTCAAAACACCCAAGTGCAAGATCAAAAAAGGGTTGGATTCCCTCTCTGCTCCAAACTCAAGAGTCAAACAGGGAGCCTCAGGCGCTGGCCCCCAGGATCATGGGTGGCTTTTACCCGAGTCCATTTAAAGTTCCCCTCAACCCCAAAGTGCTGGCCCTAGCACCCCTCCTGCATGAGCAGAGCGTCCAACAGCAGCAGGTCTGTGTGATCCCCAGCTGCACAAGGCCCTGCACAGGTCGCTCCTTGGGTGCCGTTTCTGCAAATGAAACCCTGGGCTTTCTTGGCAGGTGGTCATCACACATGACTGCATGCGTCGCAGGCACCCAGGACAAGCTGGGCATTCTCTCTCGGCCGTTCAGTTGATTCCTTAGCCATCAAACATGAGGTGAAAATATCCTCAGCCTGTACTCGAAGGAGTTTCTCAGTCCAGTCTGCTAGGGGAGGCCTAGGAGGAGAGCCCGGCTGTTAAACATGCACAGTGGCTTTTCTAAGTCCCTGCCGTCTTGTCCGGGCTAGCCATGGGCGAGCCTTCCCGAGAGCCGGGCCCGGCATGGCTGGTGCGCTCCACAGAGGATGAACACCCAGTTCTGCTCTCTGCACCCAGGGGTGTGGACCTTCTAGGTTGATGCGTAGCATTTATTTCCCCTACGAGCAGCAGACCCCATCACCCACCCCCCGCGGAGTCGGGCAGAGTCCCTTTGATGCGCAGAGTGCCAGGAAGAAGCCGAGCACCGCCACAGAGCTTCTGCGATGCCGAATTCTTCCTCATTAACAAAGAAAAGTCCCCTCTAGCAGCTTTACCTAAGGGAGTCCCTCTCCAGCAGTACTTACTTTGCTGGGGCAGAGTTTCAAGGGCTGGCTGAGTGGTCTGCTGTCACTTGGCCTGGCTGGGAGCCATTTTTTGCACATGAGGGAATCAAGCTTCTCCTCAGTTGTCTGAATGTTTCACCCAAGTGCCTTCCTGCAATTGTCACAAAGGAGCTCGGCTTCCCCGTCCATGGGGCGAGAGAGGGACTAACACATTTTCCAGCCACCCTCTCACCAAAAAGGGCTTCCTGGCAGCTCAGACGTGCATGTGTGCGCGATGCACAAATAACGCCCCCCCCCCCCCCAGGACTGCTGGAGACAAAGCATTTTCATAGCAACTGAACCGAACAGCAAAGGAAAGGAAGCGTTTGTCTAGAGACACAAGCAGGCCAGAGAAAGTGTATCCGGAACCGACGGCTTCAAAGGCTTTGTCCGTCGTCGTCAATGCCAGGAGGAAGCTCGGCCGAGAGCAAATCGTGCGAGAAATATTTTCAGCAAGGGAAGAGGCAGTAAGATCCTCCAAGAGGACGAGACAGTAAGGGCGGCTAAATGGGAAAGATGGGTATGTCGCAGGTGTCAGAGGGACCCCAGTCAAGTCGAGGTCTGTACGTGCCCCATCACGGCCACGTGCGTTATGTTGCGCTGGCAAATCCGCCAGGTTGCTGAATGTACTGTTCTTCTAAAGTTTGCAAGTCTTCCCGCGTTATACAGAAATACTGCTGCTTGATAATATATATGGCAATCCAGATTAATTAGTATGTTATTAAATTTTATTTTCTTACCTGTATTTTTATGCTTTTTTTTAATCTGCCCTCAAAATATTGCATTCCTGAATTAGAAAATATTTATAAATGGTCAGAAATCTTTTTAAGTGTCTCTTTTTACATATATGTTGATTATTTTTCTGTAAGAGAAATGGTGTATTCTTGAAAACTTTTTGTAAATCATTCCAGGAAAGAAACCAAAATCCCCACATCTGGGCCTGGTGGGTGCTTAGGGTAGCAGGAGCCAGCACCTCAGACTAAGAAAGGGGACGGTTCTGGGGAAGAAGAATCCGTCCTGTTCTTGGCTGAGAGTAGTGCTTGCTTTCTGCAGGCCGAGCCTGGGTTTTGTCACCAAGAATTGTAAATAAACGATCTAGAAGGTGATTTTTTTTTTATTTTTAAAGCAACGACAGAACCCTGCCTGCGTAGTAATGGAATCCAGAGAGTTCCTACTGACAGGACCCCAGGTGCAGGCTGAACTGGACAGAGCTGACCAAATCGGAGTCCTGAGAGGTGACCCCATATGCATTATCCACAGGACCTCCGCAGTTTTCCCACACGGACGTCGCCAAGGACAAACAGAGCCGCTCCCCCCAGGAACGCTGGAGCGCTGCTCTGCAGACCTGCATCCAGCAGCCAAGACATCTGTCTCAGCGGGCCAGCCTCGGCCAGGGCGGGAGCTGTCACGCGGGCCATTGGAAGCTGATGTGTTCCGATTGTCACTCGGGACTGAAAAAGAGGCTGTTTATTTTCATGTCACAAAAACCACTCTCCACGTGCTTCCTGTTGTTTGGGATTGAGGGGCTGCCGGAGGTCCACTTGACAACTGCGCTCATTTCTCACTGACAAGTGGCACGGGGGTGGTGACGTTCTCGACAAGACGGGTCACCATTCCCGAACTCGTGTGCCGGAGGGACAGCCCTTCAGGGACCCGACACGTCTTGACCTCAGGTCTCCCAAACGGGGGACGTGGGCACCATACCAGTTTGTCACACAGCCCAGCCACATGCTTAGAGGAAAGCAGTGTCCGACCCTCAGCTCTCCTGGGGCCCTCAAGTTATAGCATGACTGTCTTAATTCACTTTCAAAACAAAAACAAAACAAAAAATAACTTTGATGATTGGCAAGAAGGGTGCTTCCCAAGCTAAGCCCCCCCAAAAACGCAGTATGGCCCTGGGACTGTGTTCACCGCTGTCCTCCTGCAGCCGCGGGCAGGCTCGGCTCCCCTGCCAGGTCGGGGCTGGGCGGGGCTGGGATGCAGAGGACACTGCTGCGTGTGAGCAGACGCGCCCAGCGTGGCGGCTGGCCTGAGCAGAGGTGGCCGAGGGCCCAGCAGTCCAGCTTCTGGACACCCTGGCCGAGAACCTCACTGGCCGCCATGGCTCCTGCAGCTCCCGGGGGAGAAGGCGTGGGGTCGTAATGGGGTTCCCCAGACATCAGCGGCCCCGGCAGCGCCGTGCTGGAAGGTTTGAGAATCCCGACTGGTCCAGGGGTTAGAATACATCACATTCCTATGCAAAATGGTTTTTAACCTGCAGTTTCATGTAGTTTATTTTTGCTATATGTAAAGTATTTTTATACGGCTTGTATTATGATAGTTGAGCAATAAAATGGTTGAAAGCAGCAGCTGCGTGGCTGTCTGTCTGGGGAGGGAGCGCTGGGCACGGTCCGCACTCTGCGTCCGTAGAGCAGGGAGCTTTCCTTGGGAGTTCATTGCCTCTTCCCCTCAGTCTGGGGCGACGGTGCCATCCACTTTAAGTGGCTCAGAGCCATTTGTCCCAGGTCGCAGAGCGGGAAGCTCCAGCGGGGTCCGATTCTCCCTGACATGGCTCCTCTGTCCCTTGACCCCTTCTGAGGGTCCAGAAACTCGAGATTCATGATGTCTACCTTAGGCCCCTCCCACGGGCCCCAGAGCATCTGTAGCTAGCGGGGCCGAGCCAGGACCTGGGAGGCCAAGGGGCTGACCATCAGCCCCACAGTTAGGCAGCACAAGTACTAGAGGTCTCAGCTGGCCTCCTCCTCAGGGCGGTGCTTCGCCTCCCCTCGCTGAGCTCCTAGGACATTTAGAACCTGCTCCTTCCTGTTGTTCCTCACCTCAGAGCTACTCTTACACCCCACCAGGGAGAAGGGCCCTGACCAGGCCAGGTCCCAGGGGGCCGCCCCTCCCCACCACGGCTCCACACTTGGGGTTCCTTCCTGGGGGTTTCCCAGACTCTCTTCTGGTGCCCAGAGCCAGCAGGACCCCAGGGGTAGGGACAGGACCCCAGGTGTGGGGGCAGGACCGCAGGGCAGGACCGCAGGGGCAGGGGCAGGGGGAGGATCAGGACCGTAGGGGCAGGGGGAGGACCCCAGGGGCAGGACCGCAGGGCAGGACCACAGAGGCAGGCCTGCATGGGCCCTGGCAGCTGGAAACGCTTCTCTTGATATGGCCTGAGTCCCCCCTCTGCTGGCTGGGACCAGCTGTCCCCATCTCTCCCCTTCAGATGCCCTGAAGCGCATCCAGGTGAGCAGATGGCGCTTGGTGCCTGCTGCAGCGCTTTTGTGCTGGTGGGATTGAGAGAGATGGGCCGCCAGAGGAGGACTAAGCACAGAGTTGGGGTGGCTCAGAGTGTGGCGAGCGGGAGCACCCCCCCCAGAACACCCAGCAGGCCACACACCTGGGGGCCACCCGCCCTTGCAAGGTGACTGCTGCAGCTGCGGGATGCTCTCCTTTCCCTTCCTTTCCTTCTTCCGCTCCCAAAGAGAAAACCAGAACCGTCTTCATTTAGCAAAGAGCCTCGGGCTCCCCAGGTGGACAGTGCAGACAGCAGTCCCCACCTGCCCGTGCCCAGGTGCACGCTCCTCTCTCTGGCTACTGGTCCCCCAGCTCCTTGTCTAGCGGATGGTTTCAGACTCACCCAAGCTCCTGACGGAGCCGTGAGCTCCCTGGGACCTCATTTTCCCACCCTCCGGAAGCAGCCTTTGAGCTCAGACAGTAACTAGATCAAACCCAGAAACTCGAAGGATCCGATATCTGAACCTAAGTGAAGGCAGTGCACACTGGGACAACGTGGGGCGACTCGGCCAGGACCTCGCTACCCGGGAAACTCCCCTGGCTCTGCGCGGTGGGGTGCAGTTGTGCCCTAGGAGCGGGACGAGGTCACTGGTGCAGCCGCCCCCGGGGACTGAGAAGACCTGGGAAGACCATGTCCCCTCCTCCCTCTGCAGGGTCCCACGTGGGGACCTGGTCTCTGGGCAGGACCAGGCTTCGGGTGAGACAGAGCGGAGGACGCGGACACCCGGACGGCAACAGCCTTTAGGAAGAGAAAGTGAGGAGCCCCGCGGCCGTGACAAGCGGCAGGGGTCACGTTCGCTACAAACCTCATGACATTTTGTGGTACAAACTCAAATGAGGTCAGAGCACACTTTCTCCAAAAGGGCTTCTCGCTCGGCGCCGTCTCGCCCCACCCTCCTGGTGACATTCAGAGCCGAGCTTGGTGACACTCCCTGTAGAGTTAGCACCAGAGACGGGGCGCCTCACCCCACCTCCACCGGATGATCCCCACCGTCCAGGACTCCTGTGGCCCGGCAGCTTCAAACTCCGACTCCGTGCTGGACCACGGCCGTGAAGCACAGAGACTTTTCCAAGGACCACACCCATCACTTCAGGGGTCCCTAAACTTTTTTTTTTTTTTAAGGTGGAGGCGGGGGTTGCACACATCACCCCACACTGTCTGGGTTCCTTCTGCTCCCAAGGCTCTGGGTGGCACCTGAGGAAAAGGCATCTGGGGACAATCTTGGCAGAAGATTCGGCAGACACCCACAGGCACCACACGCACACACCTGTGCACTGTCCCTGCCTGGTGACCATGAGCACGTCCAGTTCAACACCCCCCCCCATTTCCTGGTCCCTGCCCACCCCTCCTTGCCTAGTCAGAATCCTGGGAGCCCCCTCCCGGCTCCCCCACTGCCCTGTTCCCCACACATCAGCGAGGGTGGTGGCCCCTCTTGGAGGCCCGCCGTGCCTCTGGCTCTGTGCCCCTGGGACCACCCTCATCTTCTGCCTGGGTGACAGGGCGGCCCCCCTGGTTCGTCTGCCCTCCCCGCCCACACGACAGCCATCCTGCACTCAACGCCTCGAACCCCACCACCCCTCGGCACGCAGGACTCCAGGTGAGGCGGCCACCCTCCTCCGCCTACCCCTCCCCACGCTCACCTCGACTTCTCCTGTGGTCCTGGCTCAGACCCCACCCTCCCTCCCGTCTCCACGTCCCCCAGTCCCCGAATTCCTCCCTGTTCACTTTTGTAAACGTCACGTGCTCAGAGGCGGCCCTGACCCCCAGGTGTCATGTGGGATCCGCCCCACGCCCCTTGGCATGGTGTGGACCCTGTCCTGCTTGGATACCCTGCACCGTGTCCACCGCCTCACACCTGCAAGTTCAGGAGGGAAGGATAGCGCCGGTCTGCTCAGATGACATCCCCAGGCCCCGCACACAGTAGGCCCTCGGCAACGGGGTGTTGAGTGACAGACACGCCCGACCTCCACACACAAGTGGCCCCGAGAGCAGTGGGCTCTGGAATGTGTGGGAAACCCATCGCTGCCCGATACTTGATGCGTTTTAAGACCCAAACCGTGGATGCGGGAGACCTTTCCCCTGTGGCTGGCTGGACTCGTTTCTGGTCACAGGGCCCTGTCTCCAGTCTGTCCCTTCACTGCAGCTCCGTGGGTCCAGAGCTGCCAGGCCACCGTCCACCTCCTGAAGGCTGCCGTCACCTGTGGCCCCCCCTGCCTGTAAAGTGCTGGCTGCCACGGCCCAATGGCTCCTGGGGGACGGGTAAGAGGAGGGCAGCCGGCCAGCTGCCGTTTACAAGCCGAACGTGAGCTGCTGCCTCCCGGGGGTGGGGGGGGGGGTGTTTGACAAGGTGAGAGGGGGATCTCCGCGCCAGGGCCCAGCTCCCCGGGACGGTGCCGAGGTGCGGGACTTGGCCCGCACCACCTGGTCCTCCCCAGGTGGACCCTCCGCCCGGGAACCACCTTCTCATTTATCCTCCACAGGATGCCAATGAGCCAGGGCGGCCCCAGGTGCACGGTCCCTGCGCGGCCCTCCCTGCCTGGCCTGGGCTCCAAGATCCAGAGGCCCCAGGGCAGGTCTTCCTGACGTCCCCGGGGGACGCCCTGGCCCCAGCACTGCCTGGAGGAGGTCGGTCAGGGGCCCCTCTGAGGGCTAGAAATCGGGGTCCAGACCCAGGCCCCCCGTGCCCCAAGGCTGTGGCTTCACCCCAGGACAAGTTTCTATCACCGTTTTCCCCCATTCACACCCGGCCCTCCAGGCCCCGGGCCTCGCTCGCGTCAGCAGCGTAAAGCAACACAAACCCACGGCCTTACAGACCCAGAGTCGGAGGTCCAAGACGGGCAGAGCTAAGCCAGAATCAGCAGGCGGCTTGGGGACCGTCCTCTTCCTGTCTTCTCTGGGCTCCTGGGGAGCAAACGTGGCCGCCCGCCCACCTCGACTCCAGCCAGCAGTCCCTGGTGCTGTCCCCACCCTCACGCTGCCCGCTTTGGCTGATAAGGGCTGTGGTCACATGGGGCACACCTGGTCCCCGGGGGCAGGCTTCCCACCACCGTGATCAGCAGTCACACCTGCAAGCTCTCCTGTGCCAGGCCACCTACCCACAGGTCCCCAGGGTTTGTAGGGGGCCAGGGGTCCTGAACCCTTTGGGACCCCCTTCCCTGGCCCTTGGGACGCCTCTCAGGAGCACCACCCTCTTCTCCAGGCACAGAGCCCTCTCCCTCCAGCGCCTGATGCAGCCACCCAGGCGGCGAGCAGGCGGCTGCCACAGAAGCACCAACGGGCGGCCTCCTATCACTGCCTGAAAGCGAGAGTCCACATCTCCGTGTCCACTGGCTGTCCACTCCGCTGGGCGGCCATCTCCTGGACTCCTAGCTGAACCCAGCCTCTCCTGCTGGCCTCACTGCCTATTTCTAGAGGACAATGGAAGCTTCTGGAAGGGACGCTGAGTGCTCCTGCTGTGGCCTCTGCCCTTCCCAGAGGCTCTGCTTTGCCCCTATCTGGGGCCACCCCATGCCCTCACACCTTCTCAATAAGTGGCCCAGCGTCCTCCCTCAGAATAAACGCACAGCCTCTTCTCCTGTTTAAAAAGACGGTGGACCCTGCATCCCCTTCCCCTTTCCTTTATGCAAAATTCGAAACACTCCCATCCCCACCTTTCCCAACGCCCCGCCCTGCCCGCCCCCCCCCTTCACAATGTTCCATGTGGACACCACCTGGGGCAGACTGCTGGCCCCTCCGGTTGCTAAGTGCAAAGGCCGACTCTCCCCTCCTCTCCCTCCCTCAGGCTCCTTCCTGGGTGGGCATCCTCACCCCGTCCTCCTCTGCAGCGGGCGCCCTCCCTGTTCTGGCCCTTGCTCAGCTCCCCGATGTCAGGATCCCTGGCCCTCATTTCCTTGTTGATCTCACCCAGCTTCGCGGTTTTGAATGCCACCTGCGGGCTTGGGGCTCCCAGGTTCCTTTCACCTGCCTGGATTGCCCTCCGCATCCCAGACACAGCTGCACGTGTCCTGCTGGCCATCCACGATCCCATCCTCGGGGGCTTTCCTTCTCTCACTGTCCGCACCCGAGCTT